AGAGACATGATTTTAATCGTTCAGTTCGTATGGCAGCTATATGCCATAGTGACCCCTTAACGATGGTTCCATTAAATGAGCAGCTTCTTGAGGATAAAAGGACGTGTGCAAAATTTCAATTCGATATCCAAAAAACTGAGGTACTAGTTGGCGCACATACAAACATACAGATGGACATTGCTAAATCGACTCAGTTCGTGTGTTAACGCTGATTACTTATATATACATACTTATAGGGTGTCTGACGGTACTTTCTGGGTGTTACAAACTCCGTGGCAAACTTAATATACCCTGTTCAGCGTATAAAAATGTTGCAAATGAATTCAATATTCATTATTCGAGGAAATTATGAATGGATCACTATCATATTTCGAATTTAACGAAAGTATGAGTCATGTAATCACTTTGTCCGATATATCTATATTAAAATCAATCTAACTAACACAAATCTCTATATTCTTGAAATTATTGCCGTGGCAAAGTACATAGCGATAGCCATAATTTGTATTACCGAATGAAATACATAATGCTAATTACTACAATATTTTCTCGCTTAATTTAATTGACATAAATAAATTGTTTAAAGTCAAGAATTGACCCTATCATAACCAGTGTCGGCAAACCAGGCAAATATAATAAAAATACTCTCTCTGTATTTAATTAAGATCAATAATATAATATAAAATTAAACGGAAGTTCGAAAATCTTTATATTAAGTATAGGCGTATATATGGTGGCTAGATGAAGTGTTGGCACGATTTTACCTAGAGTGTTACTGATGTTTTCGGTATACAAAATAGCTATAGGCACTGATATCCAAATATTCGATATCTGTGGACTTGAGTTATTGTCCCGATTTCGACTATTTTTGGATTTGAGATGGCATAATTGAGGGGCATTATTTGTGCAAACTTATATTGCAACGATTTAAAAGATGTTTGATTTATATTCTGTAAAGGAAAATTATCTTATGGAATTTAAAATTGTATAACATTAAAAGTAGGCGTGGTTGTAGTCTGATTTCCTCCATTTTCACAATGTAACGTGTAAATGTTGAAAAAATGTTGTACATATAGGAATTCACCTAAATGTGAGCCGTTATATAGGTAGTGGATCCGGTTACCATCTGATTTCACCCAATTTCACGGTGTGTAAAGAGGATCTAGATGGACTTTTTCACAGCAAGTTGGGTTGAAATAACTTTATTGGTTTGTGAAATATGCATTTTAAACCTTTTACCAAATTATCATCAAATTCAATATATTATATTTGTCATATAGGAGTTAAGTGAAGTTGTGTACCGTTACGATTTCTTTTTAACACCAAACCATACTATCTTTATAAGAAACAAGTAAGGAAGGACTAAGTTTGGGTGTAACCGAACATTTTATACTCTTGCAACTTGCTAAGTACAAAGCAAGGGAAATACCTTCAGGTACATAAGATTTATCAGAACAACGAAAATCAATATGTATAGTATATGGTAGTTTGGGTAATTTGTGTAAAATGTTCGCTGTAGGAACTGGGGTCCACATATTCGGTATCTGGGTGCTAAAATATACATTCATTGGTGCTTGATTTGCATACTGGAAAATTAACGAATCAAATACACGTGGTTGTAGTCCGATTTCGCCAATTTTCGCACTGAAACATAGGAATGTGAAGATAATAACTCATACCAATTTTGGTCGAGTAGGTCCATAGGTATGGGTTTTCACCAAAATGTCGGCGGTTCCACCCCCAACGTTCAATTTTGACCAAGGCGCTTATAAAGTCCTCTTGTATTATCCTAGGTGTTAAATTAAATGTCTCTGGCGTATTTATTTATTGATTTATCGCGCTTTTAGGCATTTTTAACAGAATCGTTATATTAGGAGTGTGATCACCCAATTTAATTTTTACAGTATCGGTAGCGGTGCTTACGGGGTTTGTCTGGAGCGAATTTGGTTGTTGTACCTTAAGTGGTTTAGGAGATATGTACATTAAACCTCTTAGAGGTCGGGGCCACGCCCATTTTTCCAATATTTTTAGCCCACAGGTGCCTCTTACTATTGTAATTTCATGTGCCAAATTAAATCTTAATTTATTTCTTAGTTATGGCACTTTTTAGATTTTCGTTTAACTTATTACGTCCATCTACGAACTCGTCCTTACTTTTTTGCCACAAAATACGTGTACCAAGTTTCATTGCGATATCTAAATTTTTACTTAATTTACAACTTGCACAGGCAGACGGACGGGCGGACAGGCAGACATCCGGATTTCAACTCGTCTCGTCATCCTGATCATTTATATATATATAACCCTATATCTATCTCGATTAGTTTTAGGTGATACAAACAACCTTTAGGTGAACAAAGCTATTATACTCTGTAGTAACAAGTTGCAAGGGCATAAAAGTATCTCCCACTCTGATGCTGGAATAACCGCGCATTTCAAACGAAATTTATCAAAAGTTATGCCGGTAGGGGCAACGTAGAAAACAGTTGTTGATTTTTGTTCACATTTGAGTAATGTTATCTTAAGCCTGCTTAGAGGTCCTCTAAGGATAAGCCCGAAAGAGAAGCGAACTGTTTTGACGGGATTGAACCCAATTTCCACAACAGCCGGTTCTACGTTACCGGAATTGACCCGGATTTTATCCGGCCAAGGGCTGTTATTTTGGCGATCTAACCCTGTTTGGATCGGTAAGTATTAGTTTAAGTTGTGCCTAGCAGCAGGATTGCTCCGTATCCTCTTGACCCGTGCTGTCATCGAGACCAACCCGGGCCCCGAAAAATTCTTCTGCTGCATATGCGCTAAAAAGTCCCATCCAAACTTCACCTTGGTTAGATGCAATAACACCCATACGGAGTGGACCACAAGTTACGTGGCCCCATGCTGCCAACGCACTACTTCGACACCTGCCTCAACGGCTGTGCAATCTGCACCATGTCCGCGCACTGTGCCGCCACTTCAGTTGAGTGACCAGGAAAAGTACCTCTACGGCCCTAAGGAGCTCAAGGCACCATGACTCAGTCCGCTCCAATCCTCGTGCGAGAACTACACAGCAGCTCCTGGTTCCTCCCACAGTCTGTTCCGTGTGTCAGACCATAATACGCCGGAACGTCACATCAGTCAAGTGCAATTCTTGCACGTGCTGTAGGAGTCTGCCCCGCAATCCCATTTAGTGGCGTCGCCAAACAACACCACAGTGCGACAACAGCCCATGCGGATATTACAGCTGCAACAACCACCACCCACACGTACCTCCCTCACCCCCAGGATCACCACTAGACACCCGAGACAAACCCGACTCTTACAATTCAACTGCAACAGACTCCAGAGGCCTAGCCTTCATACTGCACAACACCGTGCAAAATCGTCTAATCGATGGTGACATCGACCGCAGGGACACTACACTTGAATGTCAGGGTATAGCTGTCCGGTAAGGCGATGTCGAGCTCGAGATATTTAATATATACATTCCACCCAGTTACATCTTACCCAACCTACATCACTTGAACATAGGTGCGCTACTTCGTGGTGAAAACCGTTTGGTACTAGGCGACTTTAACGCGTACCATGATCTTTGGCATTCCTGCCTGTCAAGCGATCGTGGGAAGATGAAGCTGGCGGAACAGATAGACGGTTCGACATTCTGCACAATTAATGACGAAGCCCCCTCCAGAGTTATGGGCGCCTGTAATATCTCGCTAGATATTACCATCGCTAGCGGTGGTCTGATAAATAGCATAACTTGGCAACCTATGCTAACTCTCGCATCAGACCACTTCACCATAATTATCTCGATCAAGAAACCTCCCGACTTTATTTCTGTGGACAACCGCACCTTTGTTAACTTTAACAAAGCTAGCTGAGTCGGCTCACAGAATTTACCGAAAGCACTTTCGCCGCACTACCCATTCCTACGGACGTTGACGAGCGTCAATTCCGCAAGGTGATCGCTGCTGCTACCGCTCGCTTCATACCGGCTGGAAGAATTGTGGAGCTCCGCCCTAATTTCCCAGCCGAAGCAGCTATATAGGCATACCGATCCTTATGATCCCCGAATAAGGGATCCCGATTTGGAGATTTGGCAATTGGTAAACCAACATAAGCGGACAAAATGAGTAGAGCATCTGAAGTCCTGCAACCTCTCCACCGGTATGAGTAGGCCTTGAACTACTATCAAGGTCTTGTCTAATCCGAGAAAACATAACGACAGGGTTAAAATTCAATTCGATAGCAATGGGTGCGTTCGAACTACGTAATAATTGCAGCAGTACAGCTACTGTGTTGCATATTTGCTGATACTCTGCTGATGTGCAGACAAAAATTTAGTGTTGCCGATTATTTGCATAAATTGCGTACAAAACATGACAGCAGAACGTGATGCTGTTGCAGGTGTTGCCAAAAATTCACGCAGAACGTGATACTTTGACAAATTTGCAACACTGCTGTCGTGATTGCCATCTCGAACGCACCCAATGCCTCCTCGGACCCGAAGAAGTGCGCGAGCTATTTCACACTGCACCCTTCGGCAGACAAGACCAAACGATGCTCAAAAGTAAACGGCTATCTCTCTATATTTTCGCTTCTTCGCTTCAAGGAGCTTAACACTCTCCCCCACTAAATCCACAGCGATCATATTCACAAGCTGGACGAAGGAGTACAGAGTGGATCTCAACATTACAGTCGATGGCATTAAAATTCCAGTCAATTACCCTAAAATTTTAGGTATTACATTCAACAGCCTGTGCTTCTTCACTCCTCACACGACCGCGATAACTGCCAAAGTACAGAACAAAATCCTCAAACACAGTGAGGGCCGTATGCTTCCGGTTAAGGAAAGCTCCTTTTCGCAGAAACCACCCCTGCAGTCGTCTGCTTGAAGCGGAACTGCCTGCCAGGAACATCAAGAGGTCCTTCTTTGATTGCGTCGACGACATTGGACAGTACACCGATCAGACTTCGGGCGCAACTAACGTCAGACATGCACCGACCGCCATTCATAGCGGAGCCATCATACCTTCACCGACTCCCTGTTGTTGTTGTTGTAGCGGCAGAATTCTGTCGAGTTGATGTCCTTGGCCGGAATAAAACCCGGGTCCGTTCCGGTTACGTAGACCCGACTGTCGTGGGAACGGTCACCGACTCCCTCTCACCTCTCAGTGAATGACGTACTTGGAGTCACACCATCACTCGTCGCAGACGAAGAGCTCGAGTTGCCACGAGAATTTAGAGTAACCCTTTCCCATCTTCGGTCTGGATACTGTAGTAGGTTAAACTTCTATCTATCCAGAATCGACCCCGACATACCAAATATATGTCCAGCATGACACTAACAACCTCTTTGCATGCCCAATGAACCCCTTTCATTCAACACCCTTCTCCCCATGATCCGACCCCGTCGAAACAGCTCGTTTCCTGGGCCTCCCGTTAGATAACCTCGACGACAACCAAACAGAAACTTATCACCCAAGCGGGGATTAGGTAACCGTTACAACAACAACAACAGGATCGAAGCACAAGGGAATGGGTGTTAGATGAGTATGCTTGAGTTGGGGTTAGATCAGCGACATAATAGTGTTTGGCTGTATAAAATCTTGGTCAATTCCGGTAATATAGAATTAACTGTAGTTAAAATTGTTGAGTATGTATTAGAGAACAGTTCTGCAAAATTACGTGCTCCTAGCTTTTTAATTAAAGGCAGGTAACCGGAAAATAAAATAACTGAATAATCGGTCGTATGGGAGATATGTGATATAGTTATCCGATCGGGTCGATTCCGACAAATGATCAATAGAATGTCAAAATACGACTATTTACCTGACAAAGAAATTTTTATAATCCCTAAAAATTAAACTTCGCTGGCTTGAAATTGGTTTTAGACCCATATTGTTGTTCAGAATGAACCTCAGAATATTTCCGTCATAAGCAATTTTTGCATTTTTTTGGCTCCCTGTAAATCAACCCGCTCTTATGTACATGCATATAATTTTAAAGAAAGTTTTACACTTAAATGTAATCGGCACTAAATAGTTATGGTCAAAAACGATAACTGGAACTAAGCGCAATATTATATTTATCATTCTTGGTTGCTATCTTCATTAAGAAAAAAAATTATTTCCCCGTCATAGCTGACGACTTTGAACACAGACTCCATGGCGGAAAAAAAGTATCTTACCAAAAAAACTGGTCTATGTTATAGGATCTAACAGAAATCGGGACACACATACAAAAATGACAATTATTTTATAAAAGCTCGTAGTCTATCGGGCAATAACAGCGAAGTAAAGAGTAGTAATACCGATCTCCATTTGCAAATACATGGTGGTTCAAATAGTGACACTTGACAGTTCTGGAGGCTTCTGCATCACTTGTGTCTAATTCGCGGGGAACAAAATATTCTGCGGGATCGCTCAGCGTAAGACCGACATATTCTGCCAGCTCCATAACACTATAGAAAAGGTCTCATATTTTTGATTTTCAACATTCGTTAGAGTTTTTAGCTGTTACAACAATCTTATCCATTTACAACAATTTCGCGGTAATTTCAAATTGCCTTCGAAAAATGATAGCTTAAAAGAATTTTAATAATGAAAAAAACTCAACAACTATTTTTCTTAGCAATGACAAACATATATCTATTTTATTGCAATTATATCGTTTCTTAAACCCACTAAAAATATTTGCGCATGCAGAAAATACATTACTACAAGTATCAGAGCAATGGAAAATATCTTAATATATTTAATTTTTTTGCGCTAATGAGCATTATCCTTTGTATTTATTTTCGTGTTTGAAATATAAAATCTTAAAGAAATATAATTCAGGCTTTAAAAAGATCTATGATACAAAAATAAAACAGAAACAACAAGCTGGTTTAAAATTGAGGCATAATAAAGTGATAAACTGTTCGTCAAAATAAATTATTTAAGTGTGTTTCATTAATTCCAAGAACTGAAAAGAGAAACAACTTTCTAAAACAAAATAAATATAAAAAAGAAACAATTCATAATAATCATAACTAAAATTAGTCGTAAAATATAACCAGTGCTATTATTAAGCTATTGTCAACTTCAGATTCAAATAATACTTGTAATAAATGTCCTGCAAACATTCATATTTAAAATTGCGTTCTTGTCGAGTGATTAAAAAATAAAAATTTCATTGTCATATATAAAAAATAAGTACTAATATAAAATATGCTAAACTCGTGAATCCATTAAATATTTAGAAAATTCAAAAGCACTATTAAAATTCATCACAGTGCCAATGAGGTTATTTAGCGTTGAATAATATGTGGAGTGTGCTTTGCTGCGGGTATTTTTATATTTAACACCGTCAATCATTTTTGTAATTATGTATGAAATCCAAAATATATTTGTACGAGGTTCAAAAGATTCCCAGTTATTCCTGTAATGAAACAGTATTAATTGAAACTAACATAGTAATTAAATAAAACATACCCTAATATATCCCGCATCATGCGATAAATATCGAATTGGTAGTCCCCGGTGGCGGTAAAGAGATCTTCGTCAGAGGAAATGTCATTATAGTGACAACAGCTATCAAAAGTCATACGCGAGAGTGTATAGTCAATTATAGTAGCTTTAACACCTTTTGTAGGCACGGTATACGTATGATTGTCCAAGGTAAATTTCAACTCTTTCACACTTGTGCTCAATAATAATATATTTCCCCAATGCAAATCACGATGTTCAAACTGCAATGCTTGTTCTGCTACAGCTAATGTTAGCACAATCTACAAATGCAATTTTATAACAGTAAATAGCTTAAATAACTGCAGTTATGATATTAAGCTGCGTACACACTTCATCACCATGTGCAAAACGCAGTAGATATAATATATACCTGAAGGAGCGCACCATACGCTTGCTCGGCATTTTGAAATTGGAAACTCTCTAAATCCCGACCGCAAAATTCCAATTCCAGTACTACATAAATTTGTGTGTCATCAAAAATATCGGGATGGTCGTTTTCGGAGCCTTTGTCTTTGTTAAAAATTTCCCAAAGCTTTATTAAATGTTTAGGATACTGACCTTTAACACAAACGACCTAATAAAAAATTTGTATATGTTATATAAATATATATTTTCCTACATAGTTACCAAAAATATCTAACCTTTCTGACATTCACAAATCCGCATGTAAAATTTTCAGAATTTACACCGTTCCGCAAATTTGCCAATTCTACTGAAATCACCACCTCTGGCAATATTTGTTCAAATGTCTTCTGTTTCTCTCCATTGACATCAATGTCTCCTTCAATCGGTATGACTTTCATAACCGTGCTGTTCGCATCTGGCATTCTTCGCTTACTCATAGTATTCAAAAATACCTCACCATAAGCACCTTCACCAATTTTCACACAGTGCGTTAATTTATCTGCAGAATACAGCTCCTCAAATGGTAGAGGAAATGTTTGATTGCAACGATTCAAAACACGACGCTCCCACACGTCATCACTTTCAGGTGTGGTTATTCTTAATAGATTTTCCGAAATGCGCTCAGGTTTCAAAAATATAGATTTTCTTTTACCAACAATAGTACCAACGAAACCAATAAATTCCACAGAACTGTTGCGTTTATCTGATTGTCGTCTTGCCAAAGAACATGGACGTTTTTCAACTAAATTTGCAAATATTATTTAAAATTTTACATTTTTAGTTTGCACTCATGAGATACCTTGTTTGCGTCGCCAAGCACTGATTGATTTTCGCCACTTTCCTGGCTGCAAAGTGAGACTAGGAACTCGGATGCCTTCTTTGCTACCGTCTTTCTTATTTATCACAATGTTTTCTGACTTTTTCTTTGAATTTTGAGTTGTTCTGCGATTTGTTGCCTCAAAACAAACGTGCCTCGTATTACTCGTCCTCGTAACATGTTGGTACCGATTTGTTTGTCTATTCAATGTTGGAGTTGAGTCTTGAGATTCATTTAAAGCAGAATTTTTAACTGGCTCATCGCACTCTATGAAATATCAAATAATTTATTTAACATTATTTTATAAATGTATATACAACATACCAACTATTTGTATACGAGGTGTTAAAGGTGTGCAATTTAAATGCCTTTTTTGATTTGCTACACACATACTGTCCTCGTTAATATGTTTACCCTTATCAAAATATAAAAGGCGCCAAGCGCCAATTGGTGATAATGAGCATTTAAACGGATCCATCTTAAGCCCACGATGCACCAGTGGAGTAGAAATTGAATTAGGTTTTCGTTGTATATCTTCCTTTAAATCGCTTGGTAATTTCTGCGAAGGTTTCAAAAGCGCCGATTCATTTCCCTTACTGTTTATACTGTTTTCCACACTAGAATCTCGATTGAATGACGCATGCACCTCCTTTTTTAAAATATTTAACTCCCGCAATACACTAAATGTATATAAAAATACAACAGTTATATTTGTATCACACGTTTTATAATTTTATATACGAACGGTCTTGGTTCCAATAACTTGTCAAAAGAATCCAACCAGGCACCATCTTCTAAAGTGCTATCTAAATCTTTTCTTTCATCTGTATTAACACTCATCTCAAATAAATAAAAAATATAGTTTATATAAATGTCTTTCCACCGAAATATAAAATAATGTAATATGTAAATACGCGCTCTACAAAAACCATTTGGTATTTTCAAATATTTGTAATGATTGATAAATTAGTTTCAATCATAAAACGTAAACAAACATCATTCAATCAATTTATTTAAATGTGAAACACAACCCAGTATCTCAACATAGATACGTCACAACGAGTAATGAAATATGTTGCGTTAACGCATTGACGGAGATCCTTTGAGCCCCATTCACATACAACTTTCCTTGCTTTGCGTGGCAGTTCATACTGAAACAACGAAGCGCAGAAAACAAAGCGTATGGCACTAAAATTCTGACCGTTGCATACAAAACATGTAACAATAAAATATGAGATTTATTCGTAATTATGCATTTATTTATTCCATTCAATATAAAACTTATACTTCTAATAAGGAACGTTTTTATTTTCTCTTGCATTTTTATTATTTAAATAAGAATAAAAAATAATATTTTTGTAGTTGATAAGCAGATCTATATAGAAATATGTATATTTTTGTGGAAAAGTCGAAAAAACATTGCAATTGTCTAAAGGATGAATAAGTTGCGAGTCTCAATAAAAGATTATGGTCCGCTTTAGAATAGCTATATAAACATACGTCGGGTTGTAATTGAAATATTTAAAAAACATCTCTCATTCATTTTTACATTTTACGGTATGATGTCATAAAATGTGCAAAGAAAAAATATTTAATAAAGTTGAAATCAATATGATCTCTGAAATAAACGCTTAATTGAAAAAAAAATCTAAAATTTCGGGAGTTTGAACTTTCACTTTTCAGAAAAGATAAATTTGTACAAATTTTGTTAACGAGCTGGAAGATATACTTGAAGATGTAATTCTTTTGTGAATATAAACTGTTTATTCAAATTATTTGTTAATTTATTAATGTAATTAATATTTTAATTCGCAAAGTATAGTTTTTGCTTTTAATTTGATTAATTTTGCGAATATATTTAATAATTTAACGACGAAATTGCGTTTTTTTTTTTTTGAATTTCAAATGTCAAAATTTTACTTTCCATTTGGGATAGCAAAATGTAAAATTTGTTTCACTCCATCTCAGCACAGAGAAAAATGTTATCGTTTGACATAACTTTACCCTGCATTTAAATTTTTAAAAACAACTCATTATATCGTTTATAAAAAGAATTAAATAATCAGCATATACATAGTTTAGAAAATCACTTAATTCTGTTGTATTGTGCCCGTAAGGCAAGTATATTTAACTTATACTAAAACAACAGACGCAATGTTTTATGAGGAGCCTATAAGTATGAAGATGTATGTTAATATATCAATAAAAGAACTAATGCTTGTTTAGATTTCCTTATCCCTTTTCCCAATTATAAATATTAATTATATTAATAGTTTTTTTTATTAAATTCACATTTCGCAAAAAGTAAGCACATTGGCAACAATTGCGAACATATGATCGCTCAAAACGATCGTTAGCTTACATAACCTCAGAAAGATAACATTAAGCATAACACCAAAACCAAATTTTTTTGCAACAAAATACATATGTATATATTTTTTAACAATATGAAGAAATCTTTTTTGCCATTATTGAACACACTGAAATCTCGTACTACAGTTCCATGGTATCGCTCTCATTTTACTTATTATCCTGACAAGTCACCGAAAGAAGTTATTTCCAGTGGTAATGTTACTGAAAAAATGAATATGGTTCAAGCAATCAACAATGCTATGGATTTGGTACTTGCAAAAGATCCAACCGCATTACTTTTCGGCGAAGATGTAGGCTTTGGCGGTGTCTTCCGATGTTCAGTTAACCTACGTGACAAGTATGGGAAAGACCGTGTTTTTAATACTCCACTAACCGAGCAGGGAATAGCTGGATTCGCCATTGGTATTGCTAATGTTGGATCCACAGCTATTGCGGAAATACAATTTGCAGACTATATATTTCCTGCATTTGATCAGATTGTCAATGAAGCGGCAAAATATCGGTATCGCAGCGGTGGCCTATTTGATTGTGGCTCTCTGACATTTCGAGCACCTTGTGGAGCTGTAGGTCATGGTGCTCTTTATCATTCTCAAAGTCCCGAAGCATACTTTGCACATACACCTGGTCTTAAAATTGTAGTACCTAGAGGACCAGTGAAGGCTAAAGGTTTACTTCTAGCTTGCATACGGGATCCTAACCCATGTATCGTATTTGAACCAAAAACACTTTATAGAGCCGCTGTTGAGGAAGTACCTACTAACGATTACGTGTCAGAATTAGGCAAAGCTGACGTGTTGCTTAAAGGAAAAGATGTCACTCTGATTGGTTGGGGTACACAAGTGCATGTACTCTTGGAGGTAATTAAAAATGAAAAACTATTATTCAAAATAATAAAACTATTGTGCAATAAATAATATTTTTTAATATACAAGGTGGCAGAAATTGCAAAAAAAGAACATCAAATAGATTGCGAAGTGATTGATTTAGTATCTATTTTACCGTGGGACTGTGATACAGTGTATAAAGTAAGTATATGTAAAATGCAATGCAAACCTCTCGCATAAACATTCTTTTCCTTTCTCAGTCCGTAAAAAAAACTGGGCGCGTTATTGTGGCTCACGAAGCACCTCTAACTCAAGGTTTTGGTGCTGAGTTAGCTGCTTCCATACAAGACAAATGCTTTTTGCACTTGGAGGCACCTGTAAAGCGCGTTACCGGCTGGGATACGCCATTTCCACATGTATTTGAAACATTTTACTTGCCTGACAAATATCGTTGCCTAGCGGCCATAAAAGACTTAGTGAATTATTGAAACTCGACGTTAAATTTCAACGATATTTATTAATGACGCTTAAATTTTGGAAACGGATGCATTTATATTTGTTTATACATATATTTTTACGAATTTGATTATCTACTTTTAATGGTAACATGTGCAATTATTTTACGTAATAAGTTTAGAAGTTTAATAAAAAATAAAAACAAACTGCTCACCACTATCACAATCACTTTTTAACTATAGAGTACATGTACAAGAGAAAACAAAGCAAACATAAAAAAAAATCATTTAAATAGTATACCAAGTACTTTCTTTTAAACAAAATTTAAAATTTCAGCTTAATTTATAATTATTCTGATTCAACATGCTGTTAAAATATCTTTCCTTTTTGAATACTCTTCTCTCTTCTTTTAATCAAGGTAAACTTCTAATTTTAACTATAGAATGTTGATAAGTGGAATATTATAAACCCTTTTAAATTTCTTATGCTCTTGTTATATCCATATCAGTTAGTATGAAAAATTGTAATTCATATGCCAGAGACGATACTTTTTTGAATTGATTTAAAAAGCCGATGATGTATGTATATATAATCATTATATGAATTCCATTTCTCAAGCTGTATTTTCTGTCTTTTATAATTTTTGAATAATAGCATTATTAACTATTATCTTCTGTCAATCAATTAGGAGGTATGTACGAGTATGTTCATATGCTTAGCTCTACTGATTTATATACATATGGAATCCAATTGTAGAAAAAATCTATACTTCAGCATCTAATTTTAAAACGGTAATCTTAAATAAAATATTTTTGTTGATGTGACGAAGACAATCGATATGATAGAAGACTGAGTGGTTGTGATTGACACAAGCATCTTTGTCGAAAACTTTTAAATAGAACATTCATTTGTGCCTTATTCTCTCGTTATTGTGTTGTGTAGAACTCTTTACTACTCTATGATATTTTAAAAATCAGATCCAGAATTAAATCCACATCTACCCATTGCATTAAACATACAGTTAGTTTCAACAAGATTTGGCTTCATATACTTTTTTTCAGCTTACTGGTATTTTCCGCTCGCTAGTTATTTATTTATCACGCCTGTTTTTACTACAAATATAGATAATTTGAATATTTTTTTATAAATCAAATACTAAGTAAGATATTGTATAAATTATAGTAGTATAAAATTTTCAAATAAATAAAATAACACGCTTCTGTTTATAATAATATTGTATATGTTGTAATTAAAACAATAGTGTATATTTTACTTGTTTGTGTAAGCATTACTTTTTGGCAAGCGCTATGCCTAGACCCAAAATACCGCCTAACACAAGTACTGCTCCTCCAGCTACTGCCATGCCTTTCCTCAAATCTTTGTCATAACGCTTTTGAATGCACTCCTAAAAAAATATATATAAAAATTGCAATTTAATAAAATACCACTCCAGCATGACGCATATAATAAATTTGGCTGCGCCGAAGTTATAATACCCTCCCAGGTGTATTTTTTATAGCATAAAAGGGTATAAAAATATCTTTATCTTGATTTTGTTCGGTCAGTTTGTAACGCAGCTATATGCTATAGAAATCCGATCTGAACAATTTTTTTCGGAGGTTGCACCGTTGCATTGGACATTTAACACTGCCAAGTTCCGAGAAGATATCTCGCAAAAAAAAAACTTCCCATACAAGGACTGGAGTTTGATCGATCAGTTTGTATGGTAGCTACATATAATATATGCTATAGTTGTCCGATCTAAACAATTTACTCGGAGATTGTACCGTTGCCTTGGACAGTAGGCCGTGCCAAATTTCGTGAAGATATTTCGGCAATTAACTTTTCCATACAAGAACTGGATTTTGATAAATCCGTTTTCATAGCACTTGGACAACAATTCATGTCAAATTTCGTTAAGATATCTCGTCAAGTAACAACAAAAATTTAATTTTGATCGTTCAGTTTGTATCAACGAATGGTTTAGATGTGCAGCTTCTTGGCGAGAAAACGAGTACAAATTTCAGAGCGATATCTCAAAAACTCAGGAAAGTAGTTCGAATATATACAGACAGACGAACATGGCTAAGTCAATAAAGCTCGTCACATCTTCATATATATATACATTTTACGTTTCCTTTCGGATGTTACAAACTTCGTGAAACCTAAAATACCCTATTCGGGGTATAACAATTATGTTACAAACTTCGTGAAACCTAAAATAACGCTATTCGGGGTATAACAATTACTGTTATATTATATAACAAACTTATAAATTAGATACACGTTTTTTGTATAGTAATAATATAGTAATATGTAAATTTAAATACCTCTAATGAGCGAACTTGGGGATTTTCCTCTATTTCTAGGAAAGCCTTACAATATTGAAGTGCACGGTCGTAATTTTTCATACGCGCTTCTCCCAGTGCCAAATAATATAGATAATCACGCCTTCCTTCGGAATGGTGTTCCATTAAATCTTCCAACAACTCAATGCCCTATAAAGTTAACAAATAACTATTTCATTGACATGGACAATTATAGATTAAACTCAAACGATGATTCATAATTACTACTATGATAACAGATTGTAGTTAGAGTAATGCACTTTTAACTATATACAATACCTTAGCGATATCTTGTTTGTGTGCACATCTGACCAAACAAAGGGCATATCCAAATTTTGCTTCTACACTTGCACGTCCATCCAATTCCAGTTCTCGAAGGTACTTTTGCTCATTACGCTACAAAAAATATAGTAACATTGTAATTACAAAATTCATTTAATTCTATTACTACATACATCAAAGTCTTCCTGAGGCACAATCGTCTCCATCATTTCCTCCATCATTTTAATTTCTTCCACTTCCGAATCCACTTTGAATTTTATATCTTTAAATAACAATCGGACTATTAATAAATTTCACCAAATTTTATTTAATTGCAATGCGAATAGAAATAGATGAGACAACTCAATACTAAACAAAGATAAGAGATGACGAACAAATATATCGATTCATTTGGCGATTGCGATTATAAACAAATTTGAATTCGATATCGCATCACAATATTTTATAGAATATGATTTATAAAATATAAGAATATCGTTTAAACTATTACAGAAATGAAATCAACTTACTTTTTTCGGCTATTAGGCATAGCGACTCCATAAGAATTTTATTTTGGTTTGTGATTTCTTCAATTTAAAAAAAATAATTTTTGGGAACAAAACTTTGAAAGTAGAACTCAACAAACGCAGAATATTTTTTTTTTATAAAATATTCTAGCATCTTTTAGATTTATTTATGAGTAAATAGTTAAAGAACAGATTTTATATAACCTTGTCAAATTAATTCGAGCAATTAAAGTATAACATCCGTAACATAAATATAAACGAGGCATAATGTTTCTCGTAATCTACATTTAATACGTACAAAGATTTCTTTCAGAAATTTAATACAACACTGTGCTGTTAACTCGTTTGATGAAAACTGCTGGCTTTCTCGCTTCACAAATTTACACAAAATTTTCATTTTATTTATTTGTCGATGTAGATTTTAAATTAAAATCCATAGAATAATAAACACGTTAAGTGAGGAAACGGCATTGGCGCCTAAATTATGAATTAACAGTTGCATGTACCTAAAGCGACAAAGAGACTGTGACTACGACCGCAACATTCCCGACGGGGAGGGAGCTCTTCAAATGGAGCAACACAGCAATCACAACCAATCGAAATTGTTCATTTGTACGGCCGTAGATTTTCGAGACGAATTGGAAGAGGTCTGTTTAACATTTTTCCATCGTCATTGCAAAGATTAAAACATTTTGTCATATTTTTTTGAAAATGTATTGCTTTATGTACATAATGAAATTGATTTCAAAATAGTATGGTTTCAGAATATATTGCTACAACTTATTTTATATGTCTTCACTTGCAGCGATTTGAACGTGCGTACGTAAGCCTACAACAGCAAATCAATGGCCTCAATGAGAAGGACATGCATGACATTCTGTCACAACTCGTATGTAAAGAAAAACAGCATGAAGATATTTCAATAGGATTTTTATACACAATGTTAACAGACCCTGCCGTGGCGCCAAAAGCTTATAGAGATTTAACACTTGTCGCTAGGGACGGAATGAATATGGTTGTTTCAAATCTTACAATGCTTGTAGCCGAAAAATATGGAAAATTAACTGAAGTGGCACGCCGCCAGCTAATATGGTTACTACGAGAACTTGTGAAACATCAAGTACTTTTGGTGGAAAATATAGTGTGGAATTGCCTTAGGCAAGCTGGTGGTGGTGATATTTCCATTAAAAATATCTTTCTGGTTGAAGGCCTTCTTGACATATTCATCGATTATCGTGCATGGCTAGAATCACAAGCATTTCTTGTACAGACAGTGGTATATAGCTATGTTCGACTTATAGAAGATCACGCAAGCCCGTCATTGACTACTCTTCGACAAAAAGAAGTAAAATTTATAATATCATTAATACGCGATCGTTTCTTAGATATAATACCACTGGGGAGAGATTTTGTAAGGTATACACCATTATTGTAGAGAAATTAACATTACTATCAAATAGTAAATCATTAATAAATGGCATAAGTTACGCAATATATTTATAACTAATGGCTACATTTACTTACAGGCTCTTACAAAATGTTGCGAGAGTTCCGGAATTTGAACAGTTGTGGCGGGATATTTTACATAGCCCAGAAAGTCTACATCCAACATTTACCGGCATTTGGCAACTTTTGCAAACACGAACAAGCCGACGATTTCTACAAAGTCGTTTAACGCCAGAAATTGAACGTAAATTGACATTTCTCGCATCATCTGTTAAGTTTGGCAATCAGAAACGTTACCAGGACTGGTTCCAGGATAAATATTTTGCAACTCCCGAATCGCATAGCTTGCGTTCAGATTTAATAAGGTTTATTATAAATGTCATACATCCCACAAATGATATGTTGTGTTCGGATATCATTCCTCGTTGGGCCATCATTGGTTGGCTGATATCATCTTGTACAAATCCGATTGCATTGGCTAACGCTAAACTTTCGCTCTTCTATGATTGGCTTTTTTTTGATCCGATCAAGGATAATATAATGAATATCGAACCGGGCATTTTAGTAATGTATCATTCAATACGCAATCATCCATTCGTCAGCAGCACACTTTTGGATTTTCTCTGTCGCATAATGAAAAATTTTGATATACGGCACGAAGATAAAATACGTACTGGTGTATATAATTCATTAAATAAGATACTCGAAAAGCAGGTATGGAATTAAGTAATAAGAAAAGTGTTCATAATATATTTTCTATATAAATTAAACATATAATTTTATATTAGTATATGATATTCATAATTGTAAGTTAAAAAAAAAAAAACATACAAAAATTCTGATTAAAGCAGAGCATTATGAAAGAAATGTTTTGGAAACCGATTTAACTTCATTATATTTTCAAATCTGCTATTTTGTAATTTTTTTATTTTAATATGTACTTATGTATTGAACTATTTTCACATGGCAATTTTATAAATTATATTAACGAATTCCCCATTTACAGGTCATTCCAAACTTACAACCCTTATTTGAATCACCGAAATTGGATCGAGAGCTGCGCAATTTAATCCGAGAAAATTTCCGTGAATTTGTTTCACCCACACAACATCCTGCAACACCAATAGTACCGATGCCACCATTTAAAAAAGAAGCAGAACCTCGTGTACTACACCGTGGTCAAACCTTTTTTGCTGCACAACAACCTGAAATGCATCTACAAAATAATTTTCAACTCAGTACCAATGTGTCTGATTTAACAGAAGCTCAAAGTGTCGATGCTAGTGCAATAGGTAGTGGTGGTGTTAGTACTACAACCAACATCGAAGAGGATAGTAAATTAACGGTTATATCACCCGAAAGTAATGATATTGAAACCGAAGCAGCTTTCAGCGAAGATGACGATGACGTTGCAAAAGATGTCAAAAGTGAAGAGCTAACCGACGACGATGATGATTTGCCTTTATCAAAAGTGCGATTAAAAGAGAAACCCATACCGGAGAAAATCGATCTACCCGCCTCTATAAGTGACTCATTCGAAACATTTGTCACAAAACGCAACTCCTTTACGTGGGAAGCATTTTTGTTGGATTTTCGAACATTGCCCGCCTCAGCATTGGATGAAGCACAATTGAATTATGTGATCTCGAATACGCATTTAATTTTACGCGAAACATTGCCACAACAAAATATTTTCACCGATAGTAAAACCGATGAAAAAAATTTGGCAAAAAGTATAAGTTATCCACTTTTTGGACTATTTCGTTTTCTCTACGAAAATGATGAGAAAAGTAAAAAACCATTTCAAACTTTACTCGCTGAAATATGCGAACGAATACCGGAAATTGGTTATTTATTACTTTACTTTATGAAAGTTCACGTTAAATTACAAACGCGTAAGAATAGCCAACAAGCGACACAATTCAAAACGCCAATTTATCGGCTGTTATGTGAGGCGAGTGGTGAAAAAGTGGACGATTGTTTAGCGCGCGACTTAGATTTACTTGAAAAAGAAAGTACGATAATTTTTCTTTGGCTTTTGCCAGATATTTATCGCGAGTTCAAAAGTACAGCCATAAACAATAGCGAATTGCTGCGAATTACGTTGAGATGTATTGATGCGAAGAACTTGCGTGACCTTATTTACTATGTGGCGCAAGGTAAATTGACACTCTTTAAGCAGGATGGACTGATCGACTGTCTGCGCGAGAGTTTAGTTTATGAAACATTTGAGCAACTGAGCCTGTGGCAGTTGGTGCAAGCACATGATGTGCCGCTTAAGTGCTTACAGGTAAATTATTATGATCCGGAATATGCGAACGAATGAATCGCCAAGAAACATTAATAATGATAAAGCTTAGATTATTTATATAACCTTTTATATTTTAGGATATTTTACCTGAGCTGGAATCTTCAAGTCATCCAGAAGCTCTTAGCTATATGCTTTTATGGCTGAAAAACGAGGAGCCCACAAATGAACTGATACGCCTATTATTGAGTAGAGAGACAAAATCTCGGGGTGATCCTTTTGTCACATCGGCATTACGGTAAGCTTAATCATACATACTTAAAATCAGGGTAGCGAATTTTTTAATTAAAAAATTTTGGATTAAAAATTCAAATTTTCAATATTTAAAATTGAATTGTTAAGGTTTAAAAAAGGGTTATCACGATTCCCACAAAACTACGAGCCCAATTAAAAAATTTAAGTTGTAGGTAACAAAAAGATCTACAACTTTTGTATTTACACCTTTTTTAAATAACTTGAAATTTATATGAAAAATTAAAACAACCAAGTTTTTGGTTTTATATTTTTATCTTTTACAATTTTTTTTTTTTAAGAAATTTGCTTTAAACTTACCTTTTTATGATCCAAACACACTGTATTCAACCCATTTATTTCATTTTTGTTATTTTATCTTCCTTTTTCAATGGGTTTCGAACCACTATGGTTTTGTTTTGCTTTCAAAAATGATTAGTCGCATATTTATCTTTTTAAACATATATACAGTTAAATATGTATGCAAATGTATAATTATTTCTAGTTTCTGGTGCCAGCGCGGCGAGGAAAAACTGTCGGAAATCATAGCATCACTGCTTACGTCAAAGTATCCCAGCTCTTCTCCAAACAAACGGAAAAGATTAACCAAAGGTAGTTCTGCAATGAGTAGCTTACCCTCCGCCGATCAGGTATTACATGCATGGACATATAAATCATAAATTAACAACAACTACAAATCGCATTATTCTCACTTATTTCAGGTGCTAAGTCACTTGGAGCACTATCGACGGAGTTGCAGACATGGTACAGGCACAGGGCTTTATGTTTATGATACTATGCAACGCGCGCTACAAGCAGCGTATACACATAGTAACGAGAGCACAAAAGTAAGATTGCATTTTTACACCCTAAACAGGGTATATTAAGTTTGCCACGAAACTTCTAACACCCAAAATGAAACGTCGGAAACCTTATAAATTATATATGTAAATGATCAGCGTGACGAGCTGAGTTTATTTAGCCATGTCCGTCTGTCTGTACGTACAAAAATTAGTCCCTCAGTTTTTGAGATATCAATCTGAAAATTTTGCAGACGTTTTTTCTCCCCAAGAAGCGTATAACTCATACAAACTGAACTATGAAAATTACTTGTTATCTTGTATGGGAAACATTTTTATTTGACATATTTTCGCGAAATTCGAAATAGTTTTTTTATATTGGACCACTATAGCATATAGCTGCCATATAAACTGAACGATAAAAATCAAGATCCTGTATTTTTTTATGTGAAGTTTATTCTAGCTTCGGTACAACGAAAGTTAATATTTTTTTTTTGTTCGATAATTTAATCACAACGAAATTTCTATGTGCTATTGTTACAATATATCAAATGTGTTGATTATATATATATTTTTTCATATTTCAGAAGCAATATAGCGATTTATTTGCGCTGGCCGCTGAAGATGAAACGACAGCAGTGGGGAGACGAGGTGGTAGTGGACGTGGCAGAAAACAACCGACTAGTAAAAAAGATACAAATAATCATAATGCGAGTAACAAAAAAAACTCAGATCCCGTTAAAACGATTTATTCATCAGATGAAGAATCGAGTGAAGTATGTCAAACGAAACGGATGAAAATATAATACATATAAATGATTAATTTTAATTATTTTTTTCAGGAGGACTGGCCTAAGCAAAAAATTTCACAAGCCAAGAAACGGAAAAAAACCATTAATGATTCTGACTGACAGTATCAACAAGGGTTTTATTGTTATGATGTAGATCCATATAATAATGAGAAAGATTTTTCTAATTAAATTGTTTAAATATAATAATTAATAAAGAATGCAATTAAAAAAAAGGAATAATGGAAAAAATACATATATGAAAATAATAATGCCAATATGTAGATGTTTCAAATGTTGAAATATTCACGTTATATTTTTTTATTTTACATCAAAAATAAAAAGTAAAAAAGTCTAATTAAAACTTACAAATATAAATAAACATATTAAATGGTATGATAAACATTGAAACAAATATAATGATTGTACATCTTTTTAATTCAAATAACCACCAAGATACAAAAATTTTACAAATGTATTTGTATTTTTCCACATAATTCTTACACATGTCCACACACATTGTATGTATATCGTAAGTAATTCCTTTTGTAGTAAGAATCTAATTAGTTGTCTTCTGTTGTATGCGTACTCTAATAATTCTATTTGCTTTAATACAAATCAAATAATATTTTGATTGCCTTCAGGTAGACATGTTTGTTTAGTAACAACCAGTTAGTATTTTCATAAACCAGTAATGTCACCGTTAGTGATACAAAAATTGAGAAATAAAGCTATATCCGTACATTTGGCGTACATACATATATATTATATATTTTCTTATTTACAGTCTGTTTATAGTTAAAAAATAAAAATAAAATAAGGACAATGGGTAAAATTCGTTTGTATAACTTCCGCAATTAATACTATTGACAGCATTTACTCAATTCTATAATTTAATTTGTTAATAACATTTTTGTTACGATCGCGCAGACCATCCAATTTAGAACTGTGGCATGTGCGTTTTTTGCGCGAATATGAGCGTAAACAACGCTGTTCCATAGAAGCTGTTGGCGTTTGATTTGCTAAAAAAAATATAATAAATATAATTGTAAGATTGATAATTATGTAAAATTATTTTAAAAAAAAGTAAAATTATATTATAGAAATCACTATTATACAAAAAACTTCGTGAAATAAAAAAGTTTTCCATACCAGAACTTGATTTCGATCGGTCAGTTTGTATAGAAGCTATATGCTAAGTGGTAACTTCTGAACAATTAATCCTTTGTATAATAATCCATGCCAAATTTCATGCAAATATCGTGTAAAAAGAGCTTTACTCACAAGAACCTGATTTTTATCGATCAGTTTGTATGGCAGCAACATATTTATATGCTACCTTTGCTGTATATCGATGGTTCTGACAAATGAGCAGCTTCTTGGAGAGAAAAGTTCGATATCTCCAAAACTGAGCGACTTGTTCGCGTATATATGGACAGACAGACGGACATGTCTAAATCGACTATATAGGGCGTTACAAACTTCGTCGTAAAAAAAATAATCTTTTATATATTTTTTAAGGCAATCAAATAATTGAAAGAATTTTTTGATGGTTATGGTGCATGTTGGAAAAATTTACTTAAAAAAATCGAATTTATAGCCCCTTTATAAATATAACATGTAGACAAAGATAATGTAGTTTTATTAACATATCCCACGTATGCAGTTTAGTTATTGAATTTAATAATTTTTAATATATCTTACCTCCATTTTGTTCATACTGTTTGAGCAGTTTTTTGGCTTCGCGTAACTTGCGTAGTAATATTTCATTCTTTCGTTTTTCAATAGTCAACTCTTGATTAAGTTGCGATTTAGTTTTTGATTCCAATGAACTCAATATACTTCATGAAAAAAATTTATAAAAAAAAATAAACAAGAAACAAATGTATATTATGAATAGGCAAAGAGTTAACATAATACATTTCATTATATGTTATATTATTAAAATTACTTACGGATGATTAAAAATAGATGTTGATGAAGGGCGCTTTTCCGGATCAGGATGTGTCATAAGTTTGATGAGTTCATTAAATTCTGGACTTAATGTTGATATATTTGGAAATTCGCCGCTACGCAAATTCTGCCATTCAGGTCCATTTTTCGGTAATGGTCCCCCACCGGCTGCTTCAAACAATGTCATACCAAGTGAAAATATATCTGCTTTGAACAAATTACTAAAATCTTCCTGTAGTATTTCAAATGGTAAATAACGGCAATCGCCTTCTTCAACGTGTGGCTCTTTTACTGAGGTCACATGTCCAAGATCACCAATTTTATATGTTGTAATACATTCTGTGTTACTAAGCTCTTCATATATACCATCCATACCATCTTCATAGTACGGTGTCAACGGTGTTGAACTGGACTTATGTAGCGACGGCATTTTCGTAAGAAAAATATTGCCCGATTTTAAGTCCATATGCACCAGATCATTTGAATGTATATATCGAAGACCTTCTGCCACATGAAGTAATAAAATTTTCAATTCAGATTCAACGAGAAAACGTTTTTGTATAAGCGATTGTAAACTGCCGCCGTTGCAATATTCATTCTGTATGAGCATATGATTATCTTCCGCCCACGCAGAGTAATAGCGAACAACGTTGTCATGTTTTCCTAATACCGCATGTGCCCATACTTCGTTCAAAGCCCGTTTTCTGTAATGTAAATTTAAAAAACAAATTTCAGTATGAGTGATATGATTTAATAATAATTCAAAAAATAAATACTATATTCTCAAAACACTATTTCTCAAACTCACTCGAAAAAACTACCTGCCACTGGCTTTATACTTTTCTTAATGGCATATATACAACCATCCAATCGATTAAGACACTGATAAACTAAACCGAACTCTCCAATTCCTGAAAAACAATTCAAATTGATAAATATATACATATATAACAATATATAATAATTAAAGGCTATTATATTATGTAAGTACTAACCAATTAGGGATATTTCTAAAAATTCCTTTTGATAACGGCTAATGTTTGTATCTTGCAAAGCTAGTCTTTTTGGAGCTTGAAGTATTTCCACATTGCCATCTTCTTCTCCATCAGCTATATTATCTGCCTCCGTGTTTAAAAATATCTGTAGTGATTGATTGCTCAAATTGTCTCTTCCAAATTGAGTTCGGCATCGCTTTTTATTTCGAGCCAGAAAACCTGCAAAACAAATAAATATAAGATATAATTTATATAATATAAGGATAGGCAAAAGTTTCGTATATCTTACTGTCAGGGGTAAAAGGATTCACATTTGCGGTCTGTTGAAAATTATCTAAAACTCGACTATGCAATGGCAGCGATCTTGGTCGTTCCTCTATTTCGCTTTTTCGAGCAACGTCTGCCGCAACCGCTGCAGACAGATGGTTTCGTGATTTTTGCAGAATGGTTTTCGGTGTGGCGGGGGTGTCGAAAAGTCTCAATGCTCGTACCTTGCGGTAAGGAGGCGAAACAGATGCAATTGCTGACGATCGCGTCTGTACCGGACTTGACCGTTTCTGTGCTTCCTCATCGATCTGTGGTGATGCAAAACGTAGTTTCCGAGGTTGAATAAGACAAACGGGAGAAGGTGAATGCATCTCAACGCTGGAGTTTAATTCGATTTGTTCCTGAGAACTATCCGCGTCGTTTTTTCTGTCAGGTTGAAGCTTACGAAATGCTTCCATTTCGAGCATTTGTTCGATACGAATGTACCACTATTATGTAAGTCGTATTTACTTTCTGTAAAAAAACTTCAACGAAAACAATAATCACAAGAAATTCAATGAATAAAGAGATATTCCAAATTCGTTTGGTTAAACTGAAATTGAACTTAAATTAATGACTTGAAGTTGGCTGTAATTCACAGTTAAAATTTCGGACCAAAGGAATTTTGTTAACCAGATATGTTAATATCATCCCTCAGAGATGCGTTCATTATGTACATAAAAAATATTTTAAACCCATTCAATTCAATAAAAACGAAGTCCGTATATGCTTAAATGAATAAACGGTAATGTTGAAATTTAAATTGCATTTTACCTACGTACGTACTAAATTTTGCAAAGAATTCAAATTCTAAAAATCGGAAAATAAATATTTTATGTATACTCCGTACACAATACATACATATATTTTGTTTTAAATATTTAATAAGCCCTATTAAATTTAATTATATATAGAAAAAAAAAGTTAATAATACGTCGTTCTTTAACTCAGTATGCTCTTAAACATCCTCAAAGTCCTTTTTAACAATATTTAACATCATACATATTCATAAAATACAGTACAACATATATTCTCTTTCAGAGTGTGAAAAAACTTAGTAGACTAATTTTAATTTCATATTTTAATTATAGTTATTATCACTAGATATTAGAATTATCCGATTATATTTATATAATTAATCGAAGTACTAGCAAAAAATGGTGTATCTACATATGGGTTAATGATTGATAATTTTGCTGGAATGCACAAGCCTTTTGTGGAGGGAAAATGTTTCAAGAATAAAACGTGGCATAATACTGCGAGTCTACTCAACGCATATGAAAAAAAGAGATAGATATATAGTACTTTCAACTGAACAAGCAGTCATTGTACTCTGCGACGTAGACGGTTTCACCACAGTTCAGTACAGGGAAAACTCACCTCCTGCATGCAGCGTTTCAGTTTGTCGAAATCATTTTTTTAAGTTAGGTTATAATCGTATGCATCAAATCATACAATTAATTATAAGCTAGTTTTTTAAGGAAAAAACTTAAATTTAGTGAATTTGCAGTGCGAATAAATTGAGATTCTCGCAGACGAACACTTGGCGGAAACGGTGAGAATAAAATTTTTATGATTTAAGGACTTTATATAACGCTTTCGGGTGTCGGAATTTTACGTGAATTAGCAAGCTGGTTCTGTTTGCCGCTGACTAGATTCCACTCATTGGTTGGCGTTTACGCAAATTGGTGCTCCTTAAAAACCTAAAAGAAATCAGTGTGGATGGTTCGATTAATGTGGGAATGGGTACCGCGATAGTTGTAATAATTTATGTTCATCGCGGCATCAATCAAGCTGGTATTTAATACGAGGCAATGGAGAAAATTATGAATACGTAGATGTTTTGATATTTTACTTTGCTATCTTGTTAAAGTACATGAAAATTGCATATTTTTATTTTGCTATGTACTACAAATTTTCGTGAAAAGTGAAAAATTCCTTATTTTATTCTATACATACAAAATACTATGTATATCCACACGATTCACACATCTCCACTTACAAATATGTATACCGTGTATACACGGAATAACTCGCGAGTCCGAGTCGGCCATTTACGCATGTATATAATAAAGTATGTGCATTTGAAGATATATTGGTATATACATATGTACATTCAACAATTATGCACAGGAAGCAATATTTTTACAAAATATAAATATTTGTGTCTGAAAAAGATGTCAGGATTAACATATGTACAACCGGTAAATCATATCTTTAATGGATTGACATAGGCATTCCATTCATTGTGCTGTAACTATGTTTGTATTAGGTTGGGACATATGTACACTATGTGGAACTTCGTATGTATTTGCCCCATTTTGTGACAAAGCTTAATGCTGTATATATTGAATTTTTAGGTTATATGTTGTAAATGTGGCGGTTTTAGTGCGTTAAGTAAATAACATCAAACACATTTTTAAATTTGCTTATCTCGCGTTATAAAGGTGCTAAATGTTTATTAAAATAGCTGGATGCTACACATTTGTTTTTAGCCTGCTATACTTGTGATTAAGCACTCATGAGACATCCATTTTGTTTTTGGATAGAAATGCCGCTAATGGTGAATAACGATAGTAGAGGTGAATATAACATAGTCAGGTACGTCCGTTTTCCGTATACCTGATGTTGCCAAACTGAAAATGCGTAAATTTCCCAAGATAGGCGTATAATTGCTTTAGGTTAAATAGCTTTACTTCAAAACAGACTCGTGTGTAATAACTTAAACGACTGTTTTTAAAATATAGCATTCATTATAATTTGAGATATCAATAGAGGCGTCACGGCGCAAAAAGTATTTGTTTTCGTTTTAAATAATAGCTGTTAGGTTGTATATTTTTTTTAGTCACAAACACTTGTCTATTACACTTGACGGATTAAAATAAGGTATAAAAGTGTGTGAATAAATTCTATGTTAAAATTGAGTTATTGATGATGCCCGAAAGATGAAATTATTATATTATATATAAAGTGTATTACCAAAGTGTTAAAACATCTATTATTTTTCTATTTTCATGCTATCCATCGCCGTTTATGCTGTTGTTTTTTACGTTTGTTAAATCAAATTTAGAAAGTTACGTATTGAAGTCGTGGCTTTAGTTTTCTAAGCTAAACAACCGCAAAGTGTGGATATAGCATATTCAAGCCCCTTCAATAGTCGGAGCGAGTTTCTTCACTTAAGCTAGCTATACTTTGCTTAAATAAAACTAACGATAACAAACTAAAAAAACTACTAGTTAAACTTCATTAAGGTATTGAAAATACTATATTCGGTTAGAAAACCAGCGCAAAAAGTACAGAAAAGTTTGCAGCAGCAACAGAAGAAGAAACGGCCTAAAAACGATTTCAGCAACTGCAACTGTAAGATCAATATAAATTGCTAAATTTGAATACACATATTCTAACCATAAATTAATTTATATATTTAAAGAGTCCCCAGAAGATCATGGAGGAAGACGAGAGGGGAAAACTTTTTGTTGGCGGTCTTTCATGGGAGACGACGCAGGAGAATCTATCGCGTTATTTCTGCCGTTTCGGAGAGATCATTGATTGTGTAGTAATGAAGAACAACGAGAGTGGTCGTTCCCGTGGTTTTGGTTTCGTAACGTTTGCAGATCCTGCAAATGTGAACCATGTACTTCAGAGCGGTCCGCATACACTTGACGGACGAACAATCGATCCGAAACCATGTAACCCACGCACTCTTCAGAAGCCTAAAAAGGGTGGCGGCTATAAAGTTTTTCTTGGTGGTTTGCCGTCGAATGTAACTGAGACCGATTTGCGTACATTCTTTGGACGATATGGCAAAGTCACTGAGGTAGTTATCATGTACGACCAAGAAAAGAAAAAATCGCGTGGTTTCGGCTTTTTATCCTTTGAAGAGGAATCATCTGTCGAACATGTCACCAATGAACGCTACATCAATCTTAATGGCAAACAGGTATGTATTTCGTACACCAACAAATCCATCTTCTAAACAATAGATTTTGTGAAAGAATTTTATTTTTGAATGTATAGGCCGTTATTAAATTTGGTTTATTTATTTGTTTTGTGCAAACTAATTCTCAGTATGAAAAAAAGATAGTATATCTTATTTCTTTGAATTACCATTATATGTTGTAATATGTAGGATTCATACGAAATTTAATTAATTCAACTTTATAAAATACTGTCTATGAATTCATAGGTGGAAATCAAAAAAGCGGAGCCACGTGATGGATCTGGCGGTCAAAACGCTAATAATAGCAATGTAAGTGGTGGCTATGGAAAACTTGGAAATGAATGCAATCATTGGGGCCCACATCATGCGCCTATTAATATGATGCAGGGTCAAAATGGTCAAATGGGAGGTCCGCCACTTAATATGCCAATCGGAGCCCCAAATATGATGCCTGGCTATCAAGGTTGGGGAACTTCGCCACAACAACAGGGCTACGGTTATGGAAACAGCGGCCCTGGTTCATACCAAGGTTGGGGTGCACCACCGGGACCACAGGGGCCACCACCACAATGGTCAAACTATGCAGCTGGTCCGCAACAAACACAAGGATATGGAGGTTATGATATGTACAATTCGACCTCAACTGGCGGACCATCAGGTCCTTCAGGTGGTGGTAGCTGGAACTCTTGGAATATACCACCAAATTCGGCAGGTCCAACGGGAGCACCAGGCGCTGCTGCTGGAAGCGCTACTGATATGTATTCACGCGCTCAAACATGGGGTGCTGGTGGCCCCTCGACAACTGGTCCAGTAGGTGGAATGCCCCGGACTGGTCCTGGTAACTCGGCGTCAAAATCGGGCTCTGAATATGACTACGGCGGTTATGGCTCTGGTTATGATTATGACTACAGCAACTATGGCAAGCAAGACGGCGGTGCTTCAAACTATGGCGCCGGACCACGTTCAACGTATGGAAATGACAGTGCAACACAACCTCCATACGCTGCCTCGCAGGCAGTTTAAGGCGCATTAGTCTAGATACACTCCACGTCCAAATTGCAGCGTCCTCGCCGAAGTAGTGAACGTTGCCTTTCGGTCGTGTACAGTGAAACAAGATTAATTTATAAGCTTAGCGTCTATTCATTCAGTTCAGTTGTTGAAATTAATTACTAACTATATATATATATTACATAAACAAATACTAAATATAAAGTTTATATACATACATTACTTATATTGAGGAAAAAGGACAAAAAAAAACACATATGTGAAGGCATAAAAATAAAGCGAAGAGCATTAGGCACTTAACAAAACATACATAAACACACTGCTACCATCCATTATACACAGACATTGACTAAACAAATCGTAGCGTAAAATTACAAGCAAAAAGTAAATTCATAATTTGAAAATATTTAGCGAACAAATCGTAAACTGTTCATTAATCTAGTATAAATTCGTTAGAATGAATCAACTGGTACAGCTAAGGATATATGATGAGACTGTAGAGGAATGGGTATATGTAATGGCGATCTTATTTTGAATTAATTATGAGTTATTTATTTTTTGCATGAATTTGATGAATGAATGCCCAAAATAACTCGCTTTTAGGCACAATACTACAATAATTTATATGGATATTTTTCGGGAATAACATTTATACTTAACGTGTTATAAGTTGTACCTAATCATTTAAATAAGCTATTAGTGTATAAGGAGTTGTTTTATATCTCACTCCCCAGTAATATTTACTTTTAGTTCTATATGTTAGGACGTTTGTTAAACTGTAAATTCGTTGCACATTTGCACATTTGCCGCATTTAATTACACTACAGTCTAACTTAGCTGGCAGTTCCAGTTGATTTCTTTTATTTCTTAATCTCAAGAGAATAGTATTGTTAAACTACATTAAAATTGGATTTTGTGTGCATAAATTGTATACACCAACACACATCCACATCCTTATATAATTACACTTATGGTTTGATCTTTAGTTACAACTTAAATTATAATAATAAAAATAGTAAATTACAATAATATTTAAAATAATATACAAACATATACATTGCTATATCAATTTTTGAAGTGTGTAAATGAGTAAAATTGAATAGGTGAAAACGAAATGTAAACACACACACGTATATATTCACTTTATATATAACTATGAAGATACAACAACAAGAATTATGTGTAGTAATAGTGAATTAAAGCGCCAATATATATAGATACATATATATGTATATATATTATACATACCTACAAACATAGTTTACATACAATAATTTATCAAAATTTTGATGAAACAAGAGGACAAAGATGGAAAAAAAGAACAAAAATTATATTTGAAGTTGATAAGAGTAAACAAACGGAATGTTTTAATTTAGAAATAATATATCTCATCAAGTGTATGATGTGTAGTCTATATATAGTTTATAACTATTACTACGATAATTACAAACGCAATTTAAATACGGTGTCCGCGAAAGTAATACAATCTCTTAACATAAATAGTAGTGAACATGCTAAATGCCTGTAAATTTTTTTTTTGGAAGTATAGATTAACTTGCGTAAAGTATAGATGTTTAAAATAAGCTGCATTTTTATTTCAATAAAAAAAAACATCGTAATAACATGTCCTCAATTTAAAATAATTATTACTAGGCGATACATTTTTTCTATGAAACTTATTTCATTATACTTTTTTTCTCTAAGTTTTTTGCCGCGTTTCATGTGAACTGTAAATGCCTTTTTTATGTTAACTTCGCGACCCAGTTCAGCTAAATTGAATATGCTTACGAATAAAGATGTTACAAGGTATAAGCTAAATAAAAAAAATATACAGATTCTAATATATTTTAAACGGCAACAAAATGGTGGTAGCTAGTGTTCACAAATATCACTGATGCGAGCCTCAAACAAATAAAAAAAGCAAAAAATAAACGCTAATATTATATTATAACAAGAAAACCTGACGTAATTATTAAATTAAATATAAAAATAAATTACTGTAAACACAAACATACTTTAAAAGCATACATAACTAAATTACATTTAAATGGAGAATACAAGAAAAAAAAAACAAAGAAAAAATACAATTTATTATCTACCACATACATTTAAATTTATGTAAAATTAATCGTAACATAATGATAACTAATTTAACAAAACAAAATAAGATTACATATTTGATAGAACGAATGCTAAATTACAATTACAAATGAAACAACTCTAAATTTAATGTACGCTAGTATAAAATTTTAACGTAAAACTAAATTAAAAAAAAAAAACAAAAACAAGCAACCACTTGATGCAAAGTTAAAGTAAACGTAACGTAAAGTAAAAGAGGATTAAACACAAAACCAACACACTGACTGTTAATTGTAAAACAATTTCTTTAATGATTATGATTTACTATAAATTTTAAAGTTTAAATTTTAATTGAATATATAAATATATACATACATATGTATTAATATATACATATATATTTAAATACATGCATACATACTTATTATCAAATATCGTAACTAAATGAAATACTATTTAACCAAACATGAGTTTAATGAAGCGGGAGGCAAGCATAGGTAATACATATGAGCCTTGAGGCAAATCTTTGGTATGTTGTTATAATTGCTGCAATGTTATGCTTTCGTATTCAGTTAGCAATATTGACAGATTAAACAAAATAAATTGAGGTGAATTACTGCTAATAAAATTTAAGTGCGTTTTAAGATCATTTTCTTTACAAGTTTTCAAACTATTATATATTTATATATATACATATATATATTAAGGAAGTAATGAGGCGGAAGCAATAGCTAATTATTTCAAAATGTCAAAATGAGTAAAATTATTTGTTAGGAAACATGGGTTGCTTCTCTTTTGATACAAGTAATTTCAAAAAGCCAGACGCTGTTGTACCCCATAACACATTATTGCAAGTGCGTGCACGTGACATATGAAGCATATTTATTGGTGATCAATGGAGTGAAACTAAAATAGAACATGTGAAAAGCGGCGAATTGTCTAACTTTACCAAAAAGTATATATTGTTTCTTTACATTTGTTACCTACATACCATACAAAGGACTCCGAATTTTTCAATTAAAAAATTTTGGATTAAAAATTCCCAAAAATCTTTGATTAGAAATTGAGAAAAAAATTTTTAATTTCAAAATTAGAACAGCAAAGTAAAAAAAAAATTTTTTTTCAAATTAAAAACTGGAATGAAAAGGGTTAAAAAATGAAAGGTTTACATATTTTGTACTGAAACACTATAATATAAAAGCAATTTAATATACATAAGTAAGACAGAAAAAGCTTAACTATATTGATATTTCATTAACAATAAGCTTTCCTGTTCAAAAGATAACAAAATGATTCAATACGAAGCACGCAAACGCCGAGAAAGTAAATTCTAAAACAATTTCTTTTTTAATTTTTAATTATAAGCTTGATGTTACCATTTTTCAATTTTAAACTTTTACTATTAAATTAAAACTCCAAGATTTTCTTTAGTTTTTATAAATTTTTTTTAATAAATTGTTTTAATTTATTAATATTTTAATTAAAAAAAAAAAATTTTTTTATATAAATTTCACTTTTATTTATACTTTTTCCAATTTTGGTTTTTTTATTTAAAACGGCATTAGTTATTAAAAATTTGTTTCAGTTAAGATTTTCGGGATTACAAAATAGAAAACATTTGTTAATTCAATAATTATTTTAAGCCATTATTTGCATCCACACACACGCACATACAAGCATAATTCTAACAGTACTTATACAGCAGTGTATATTCATTTCAAATTTCAATTAACGAATGTGCGTAGTATAAATTTTTATGGTGTACGATTAAACAGAAAATAGTTCAAGTATCAAGTCGTTCAACGGTTAATTCTAATAATTTTTAAATTATTTGTATTCACGAAATATAGAAATAAAAGTACCGTAACTGGTACCAATAAGTCGGAACTACATTTCAATATACATAAGTATGTACATAGCATTAGCGGTATTATTGCTGCATAATTTGTTATTTTATATACAAATAAATACTAAAATCTCTATTATACATGAAGTAGAAATTTTGCATAAGAAATGGAATTCCTCTAAGATAAATATGTTTGTTTAAGAAAGATTCTCTATTATTTGTTTTGAACCAAAAATAAACTTAATGTTGACGCCCGCATTACAGCAGAAATAACCAAACTTTTAGGTGATATTCATATACATATACATGCATAATTACCGATGAACGTATCCTGTAACCGCTATTTTGTACTTTTTATATCATTGAGAGTTTGCTTACGAAACAAACGAACAACAAATGTGTCGACGAACGAAATAATATAGCGTTAGTAACAAAACTATTGATTTATTCTATTTCAATTAAAAATATAAATTAGGATGGGGAAGTCGTTAGTTTAAATACGATTAATAAAAAAAGTTAGACGAAATTACAATTTCTAAGCATTTGACAGTTTCTGATTGATTACAGTTTATCATACATATACTTAATAACGAATTGACTGATTTACTATTAAAAGTAATAAGCATAAGTGTTGTAAGAGTGTAGCATGTACTACAAACGACGAGCTGTATACATTAGTAGTTACAAGAATACATATATATAATACATACAGTTTTCATTATACGAAATTCATACAAAATAGGTATACTAATAACATATAATCACTGACTTGACAAGCTACTTCAATACGAAATAACATAGATTTAAGGCAAGCTTGCATAATTTGACGCTTGTGTGCAACTGTTTAATCATAAGTCCGATAACTGCATTGCAGAATACCAGCAAAGTGCTTGACTGTTCAAAATTTTATTATTCTTATACCCTGAATAGGGTATATTAAGTTTGCCACGAAGTTTGTAACACCAGGAAACGTCATAGACCCTATAAGATGTATATAAATGATCAGCATACCCAGCTGAGTCGATTTAGCCATGGCCGTCTGCCTGTCTGTCTGTTTTTATATACGGGAACTAGTTCCTCAGTGATATCGATCTGAAATCTCTCACACGTCCTCTTCTCTCCAAGAAGCTGCTCATTTGTCGGAATCGACGATATCGGAACATACCATCAGCATATATGTACATATGTAGTTGCCATACAAACAACAATCCAAATCCAGTTCTTGTATGCAAAAGTTTTTCATTTGAGTATATGCTATGCAAACTTTGGCATAGGTTATTGTCCAATGCAACGATCGGACTACTAGAGCATATAGATGCTATACAAACAGCGATCGAAACCCAGTTATGTTTTCTTCTGCTTTATGACGATTTATTGGAACCGAATTTAACGATTTTTCTTGTTTTTTGGCAATTTCACAGTAGAAGCGTGTAATTGAAATAGGATAGGCTGGTTTTAAAAGCGTATGACACGTTATTAGTGAGTATAAAACATTTGCGGTACGATTTTTATCAATAAAATGAAAGATAATAATAAAAAAAATCCGCATATTTGTGTAGAACTTACTAAAGGCACAAATATGTACAGAAACACATAGCTATGAGTATAATTAAACTAAAATATAAAAAAAAATTAAGTGTAATCAAAACGAAGCATTTCCCACAAAAAAGAGAAAAGAAATAAAATTATTATAACCAGCAACAACAAAAACAAGCCCACATAAAAGTTCATAATGTTTAAAAATAAGAAATATATCAGTTTGCAAATTGTAAACCGTACATAACATAGTGAAAATGTAAATTACAACAACAAAAAAGTGATGGTTAGCAATTTAGTTTTTAAATTTTATTTCGATTAGCATGACATATAGCCAGCCAAGTGTTGAAGTGTCGCGTGGCTTCAAGAGAACAACAGATGATGGTTGACAACGAAACGTTCGTTCCATCTGTCCGTTTGTCGATGTTAAAGCCGACGTAGCCGAAATTTTTAGCCAATGGGCTCGTTGTTAACGTCGCCATTAATATCGACTATTCGCCTGCAAAAGATTAAAATAAAAGCCAATTAAAATAACAGTTAAGTGGATATAAGATTGATACCTATTATAATAACAAGCATGCATACATATACATAAATGTACTTATAAAATGGAATAACATACTATGATAATTCATATTCTCTTTTAAATAAGCATTTCGACAATTTCGTACCAAAATTAGTTATTAAAAATTTGACAACCACCAATATGAATGAAAATAGTGTTAATGATAAAAGCAAGTGCAGTTCGTATGGTAGTGTCGGTAACAGTAAAACTGTTTGACGGCAATTTAGCATAACTCATTACAATTTAAAGATTATGTACATACATATAAACATACATACGAATATGTATGTATTTTTAATCATATTGTCGCTGGCGAACAACAACTTTTAAAAATGTTTATTTAACGGCATTTATTCTTTGCATTTGTTCGGCTTGAAGTACGCATAATTTTCCAAAAGTGAATAATAACTTAAAATTAATTATTATGCGCAATTCTTAAAAAATAAAAAACACATTTATTAACACAGACAAACTACTGCTTTTCAACAAGATTGAGCTACTAATTCTTAATTTGGTAATACATTGTACATATGTTGTTGGATAATTAAGAATTACTTCGTATGTACGTAGACATATGTCAGTGATTTAAGATGAATGTATGAAAAGTTTATCATTTAAATTGTACATAAAAAGTTTCATTGAATTCATTATTAATTTCGCAAGAAAGTAAAAATTCTCCATATATGGTACATATACTTACAACTAATGATCACGCTGACTCCCAACAACCCACTTGCATTATTTATGCTTTTTGGTAATATCCATAACAGTTTTATTATGTGCTTAATGTAATTGTATGTTTGTATTACATGCATACTTTTTTCACTGCTTACTTCAGCTGAGGAATTCATAGCCACGATATACTAATACTGCTATTATTCAGAAGGGCTCTAAGTAATAATTTGAAAGAGAAGTCTCTAAGGATTTTATTATTCAGATGGAACACACATGTACTAAATAAAAATTTGAAAATATCTAATCACAACTCTTATAAAAAAAGGAAATCACTATCAGGGTTGCAAATTTTTTAATCCAAAAATTATGGATTAAAAATTAGAGTTTTTTTAAATTAATAATATATGCACATTGAAAATGTAATTTTTAATCCCAAACATCTTGGATTCAAAATTAAGAAAATATTTTTTAATTTCAAATTTGGAGTAACAAATAGGAAAATAATTTTCAAATGAAAAGCTGGAATGAGAATGGGTAAAAAAGAAAAGATTTACATATTTCTAACTAAAACACTATAATTAAAAGCAATTAAATACAAAGAAGACAAAAAGAGTTAAACTATGTTGATGTTTTAGAAAAATTAGGCTTTCCTTTTAAAAAGATAACCAATGGTAGAAGCTGAACGCAAAAAAATGTATTTTCTAAATTTTTAATTTTTTTATTTTTAATTATAAAATTACTCTTAAAAACTTTTTTTCAACCCGTCTTTGGATTACTGTTTTTTCATACCAGATTGGGATTATTTTTTTTGTTTTTTCTGAATAAAAATTATTTTTAATATTTTCATTTCAAAAAATTAATTCAAGTGTGTTGCATTATTTGCAACCCTGATCATTATTAATATTGTCGTTAACTTACTTAACTAAAAAATAATAAACATCCAGTTGAAAGTTTTTTTGTATGAACTTATATATACTTTCAACCTTTTAAAGAATTTACTGCTATGAGAAAACTAAAAATTTATTTAGCTGCCCTCTCCCCCGAGAACCAATTGTAACGCTAATTGTGTAAAATACATCTACAAATAATTATGTATGTATGAGTGTGTATAAAAAAAAACAAATATTAGGGCAAATATCGTTAAGTTTTTCCCCCAGTGTTGTGGTCAGTGGAGCCCAGCATTGCACCCGCCGTTCTTATAGCTAACTGTACTACATACTCGTATAGCCATCGAGAGTTTTTGTATGTATTATGTATGTGTATATCAAGCAACTTTAACATCAGTTTATCATACAATTATATATATTATAGGATATAATATGGTAGTAACTTCAAAAGCAAATTAAAAGTAACTCCCAAAAGAATATATGCTTATGCTATAGCGGTTCAACTCTGTTTTTTTTAAGGAAGTGTTAGCCACTGTTCCATCTTCTTCTTCTACTTACATACATACATACATCTATATATTAAATATTTTTAGTTTAAAAATTCTAATTGTGTTTGTCAGTTGATTACTTATAATTCAATTAATTCTTAATTATAATATGAACACAGTGCCTAAGTAATCAAAATATCTATCAAGGACATTGTTACTAAATATAATAATTGAATTGTAAAAAGTTTTGACGTAATAGGAAAAAAGAGTGTTAAAAATAAAAGCAACAAGTGGTATGCAAAAATAAATTTTTTGATGATTTAAATGATAAATGGTGAAAATGCGCTCTTTGAGTATTATATAATAAATCCGTATATGAATTCTGGTTACTTGAAATGATATTGTTTAATAATGACAAATGACGGCATCTGAATATGTAATTGTTTAGCCACGATGAGTAATTAACGTTAGAATTCAAAAAAAAAGAAAAAGTAAATTTTAAAAAAATAGTAAATAATATTCGCTGGCATGTATGTATATGTAACCTCACTAAACATATAGTTCTGTTGATTACGTTTAAAAAAAAACACAAAAATACAAAATAAACAATTTAGTAAACATTAAAGAATAGAAAAAAATAAAATAATAATAACAGTAAATAGAGTATGTGAAACTGGTAATGGTAATAGTAAAAATCATAAATACATTACAAATGATTATGTATGTCAGTGTATAGTTTAGTAATTGATTCGATATAAGCGTTTTTCAATTTGTAAACCCCAAATAAGTTCAGAGAATAATTAGAAATAACAACAACAACAGCAGCAGTCATAGTAAATTTTACGTGAGCGTTTTTTAATATATGAAGTGAGAAAAAATATACAAAATAGGAACAATAAATCCAAAACCAACCGACACGCTATTCAAAACGACTGCATGTACATACATACTACATACAATGCATAAATACATATGTACATATGTATGTACATGTTTACAACCATAAGTATGTATCTTGTTACGTCTAAACCAATGTAGTGAGACCATAATTTTTTGTAAGCGTTGAGCCCTAAATGTTTAAAGAAACTTTTTTATTAAGCACACTTACATACATACATACATATATATATATATAAATTGTCTCTAAAGGACGTTTTCATTTTAAAATATTCACAAAGCAACTGTATTTACGTACATATTAATGTAGCAATATGAATTTTGTTCTTTAAAATAAATATATACAATACATTTTCAGCAATGCGTTTTCGCGTGTAGGGCGGTTTGAAATACAAAATTTTAATATAATTATATCCATATACATAGATATACACATACCTTCATACAGATTTACAATGTTTTTTTTAATATTTTTTTTTTCGAAAGACTTTAAATTTAACAATACTTTTTTTAATAATGTTTTAGTACTAACCATTTTGTAATTAAACGATTTGGATTAAAAATTTAAAATCTAAGTTTGAATTAAAACTTAAATTTTTATGACCGATTTTAGAATGTTGGGACATTAACATTAATTTTTCAATTATTAATAAAAAATATTAATCATTGTTAATTTGCCGACCAGTGCTATAAAAAATAAAATAAATTAGTTCAAAGGTTAATACAATTATTTTTTATTGCATTATTTGCAACTCCAGTACTAACAAATAATTTTTATTTTATGTTAATATTGTTTGTCCATAAATACATATACATAGTACTAATTACATACATGTAAGTATGTAGCTGAAATTTCAGTTATATTCATTAAAAAATTATAATTTTTTAAATTGATTGTTTGTTTCACCAATGTAATACAGCAACAATATTAAATAAAACATAATAAGAACATTTTCTAAGTTGTTTATTTAAAATTTTTTTATTGATTTTTAGTTGAAGAGTCGACCTCGTTGGTGGATTTAATTATTTTTTATTGATCAATAGTTTATATTTTATAATCAATTGGAGGGAAAATTTATTTGCAAATAAGATCTGTTATACCGTTCCAGCATTTATATCCAGCATCCCAGTTCTGATGTATTTAAGTGAAATTATATTGAAAAGATTTTCAAATTATAATTATGATGATTATGAAATTAATTTCGCCTACAAAAAATTACCAATATTTTAGAAACTTTTATATCCGAAGGAAAACTGAAAAAAATTATTTGCACAATAGTTATTGCAACTCGCCATTGCAAACTTCATTTTTCAATATCCTTGATATTTGATACTTATAAATTTATATAAATACAACCGTCGCAATCATTATTCCTTTTAGCCATTCGCTTAATGAATTTCAGTTACGTTAATAATTTTGACAAGTGTTAAGACATTTTACAATGACATCTGTGAAATAATTTTCGGACAAATGTGAACGTGAATTAATACCGACCTATTGTTTAATTCACCACACAACAGCATGCTGCCAAGTTGAAGCCACATTTTAAATCGTTGCCACCGGCTTACAATGTGTATTCAAATAGAAAGAGCATATATAAATACAATAAATACTACACGTATAGATCTAAAAGAAATAAATAACAAAAACATGTCTTTTTGAGTTATTTTTAAAGTCTGTCGCAGTATTCTAACTGTGCAAAGGTAGCATAATCATTAGTCTTTTAATTGAAGGCTGGTATGAACGGTTGGACGAGGTATAAGCTGTTTCATATAAATTTATAATAGAATTTTATATTTTTATATTATATTTATGACTTTCGCGCAATTCATTTTGAAATTAATATTCGAAAATAAAATTCTCAGATGATTTGTACTCTAAAAACTTCATTAAATTCAACAACAATTCTGACCCATATAATTAAAATTTTCACAATGTGGCTAGGGCTTTTTTGCAAATAACACGCGTAAAATACATGTACACTTTTTGTAAAACAAATAAATGGTGTAATTTTTTTCTATCAGATATGAATTATTTAAAATGACATTGTAATAATATAATGTGGCAGCACTATAAATGTACAAGTTTTGCATCGACTTATATTTCTGCAAGCGGTCTTTTTTTGCAGGGACGATGTTCTGAAAATAATTTTGTGAGACTTCCTGAAAAATAATTAAAGATAGAATTGTGGAGGAAAGTATAAAATATTTTTAATCAAAGCAGTGCATAGCGACGAAAATGGTAAGCAAATGTTTTGTGGTTTGCGTAGGCGTTAGTTAATATTCTAACCCGCAATCGATTTTTCATTCACTCCATTTTCAATGATTTTTATACATTTTTTTTTGAACACCAGTCAAAAAAAATGTCACGATACCCCAGCGACAGAAAGGTATATGTGGGTGATTTGGGCAATAGCGCCAGGAAAAATGATTTAGAATATGCGTTTGGCGCCTATGGAACTTTACGAAGTGTTTGGATTGCTCGCAACCCGCCAGGCTTTGCATTTGTTGAATTCGAAAGCGCCCGTGATGCGGCAGATGCTGTGCGCGGTTTAGATGGACGGACAGTTTGTGGTCGCCGTGCAAGGGTAGAATTATCTACAGGAAAGTTTGCCGGTGGTGGAAGTGGTCGAGGTGGTGATCGACGCGGTATGCGAGATCGTTCTCGTAGAAACAATTCAGATGATAACAAATGCTATGAATGTGGAGGAAGAGGTCATTATGCTAGAGAATGCCGACGTCGTGATAGTCGACGAGGCAGCCGTCGCCGGTGAGTACATGTTTATTATACATAATTTCTGTGCTTTTTATAAATGCTTGCGGAGATAAATTTCAAAATTTATATTAATGTTAAACTATTTAACTATTGGAGTTAAATTCATGACATGAATTAATTAAGTCTTCTTCAACCACAGAATTTATAAAAGTTTGTTGGATTGATACTTTACAAAGCTTTATTGTGTCAGGTTTATTTAATTTCTGGAATTAATATTATTAAATTTAACATTTTATTTCTTACTGAAATATTATTAACGAGTAATTAAAAGGAATCGAGCAAAATATAAGCGTGTAGATTCTCGTTGCTCAAGATTAGAACTTGCAAATCCATTGGAGAATTAAAATGGTTTACCGATAAGACACAGTAATTAGGTGCAATTGTAGTATTTAGAATATTGAATTAAACAAATATCTAACTTTTCATTCTGTACTTTCTGAAAAACAAATAATATATCATATATGGTATAAGTGTGGAAACTTTGAACATGTTACTATCAAATTCGAAGAATTAAGTTAGGGATTATGCACTTAGTAATATCAATATATGAAATCATTACAGTCTATCCAAGGCTCTTTTATTTGCATACACATAATTTTATAACGTTTATTTTACTGTAGCTTTCAGTCACCTAAGTTGTTGTTTTAATGGTTATCTAATCCTCGTTTGGGCGGTAAGACTCAAGTTGGTTGTCCTCGAAGCAATCTAACTGGAGTTCAAGGAAACGTGCTGTTTTGACGGGGTGGACCATAGAGGGAGGGGTGTTAGATAAGTGGGACTCGTTGGGCATGCAATGAAGTCATTAGAGACATGAGGGTACTAATTTTTCGGTTCAGTCTCGTATTAAGCTAAATGAGGTTAATTAACCAAAATACCTTTCTATATTATATTTTTTGAAGTCTTGATAGTACGATATAAATTTTGGTGACTCTGGATTTCTTATGACTTACATAAACGGCAAATGTATGACGTTTGTATGTACATATGAAACTTCAAAACATCAGTCGAGAGATTATCTGTAAATAGATTTAAGAAAATATTTTACGCATAGTCATGCAGTTACCACTTTTCTTAAATTTTTTAATTAAATAAATGGTAAATAAGAAGCAAGGGAGAAACTATATACTATGTATGTCTGAAGTGGTTTCGACGGGTTCGGACCATAGGGAGAGTGAAGTTAAGTGATAAGATTTCGTTGGGCATGCAGAGAGGAGATTAGTGTCATGCCGGGACTCATTGCAAATAAATTTTGTATATCAGGGTCTATTTTGGGTATGAAGGAGTTTAGCCTGCAGCAGTACCCAGAACGAAGTTGCGTTAGGGTCACTCTGCAGTAGGTGGTGTTTGAACTTCTGAGAGGAAGTCAATGAAGTGACTGCAGGGATGGTTTCTGGGAAAACACCCGAGCAGAAAGAGAGGTATGTTATGTTCCTTTACAGGGAGCATGCGAGCCTCACTATATACATATATGCTCGATGGGAGACATCCTGTTCTGCTGCATCCAGGCGACCATATTAGGTCGGTGTAGTTTATGACCGTTGGCCGATACCCTCTACATCTTCAAAATCCGTTCCCACGACAGTCGGGTCTACGTAACCGGAACGGACCCGGATTTATTCCGGCCAAGGACTGTCAACTCGGTAGAATTCTGCCGCTACAACAACAACAACAACATCTTCAAAATTACAACAAAATTATTAAAAGACTAGTGATAACACGGCTTGTATATAAATGCAAATGACTAAAACTAGGAAGTAAGGTACTTTTCAACATAATTGCTAAAAATTTAGAAAGATAAACAGTTTTTAATATTTTTCGTTTCATAGAACTAAGTTAGGATTTTCATGCAATATTTTTTTTTTAACTCTATATATGTACATATGTAGATATACAGTGAACAAAAAAAAACGTGTACAGCTAGATGGTTTGTCTTGTCTTTGTAGTGAATTATCTCCTAAACTATAAAAATTTTGAGTTGCATCAAAAAGTGGGAAAGAGGCCGTTTTATTAATTTTCATAATGTAATTGAAATTTTAACACTCTTTAAAGAAAATAAATACTTTGTATGTGCACTTTTGATCTCTATCATGGTTTGCAATCTGTTGTTCATAGAATGCCCCAAATTTTATGTAAGTTCACGAGGTATATTTGCCCATACTTCCTGTTCCTTCCTGGCAGTCTTAACCTCACTTTTGCTACTAATTTTGCCCTCTCGTAACTTCGTCTCTACATAGGCCCACAGGTGTTCAATGGGATTGAGGTCTGGCCTGGGAAGGATGTGGCAAAACTTTTTTGAAATTGTACAACAGCCTTAACTCTCTCATTACTTAACTACTAAAGCAGAATGGTCGTTATACTTCATAAAGCTGTAGCCATTATTTAAATTGAATTTAGTTGCTGGTGGAGCCAAATTATTTTGAATGTTGCCTCGTAGTTCATAATTCTTTCGATGAAAACATGGTTACTGACGCCATTTGTTAAGCAATGCAGCCTCCAACATGCTTGACAGTATAATTTAAAATAAAAATTTTAACTTTCAGCGCTTAGATTGGCTTACGCCCTACAAATCGACGACCATCAGATCTAAATGAATTAAATTTGGACTCATCTGTAAAAATTACAGAATCCCCAAATTCG